ATAACTTTGGATAGTATCAATTGTTGCCAAAAACATATAGCGTATTTTTTTTTTAATTATTAAGACGAAAGATAAGTTTACACGAAGTAGTGATTTTGTAATTCTGTTCTGTCCCCAAAAATGTTTTCCCAAAAGTTTTTGTAGATACAATTATTGAAAAAATGAAACTATTTGTATTGAATTCATAAAAATAAAATCGAGATCAACTTATTATTTTTGTCATATGTATACTTAAACGTTCAATAAGCATGTCACCATTATGAAGTGTTACATTATCAGAAAAAACATCTTGTACAACCAAGTAACGGCCTTATCGGCTATACGTAATTTAGGTTCCGTACCCAAAGGGCGTCATCGGAAACTATGTTATGCATCTGGCTTTCCCTTTCACCTTTGAGGTACATATGTTATATAATTAATAATACGGCTTGGAAATATTTAACTTATACAAAGTAAAAGTACATAATATGCCTATGGGAGAATTATATTTTCTTTGAGTTTTTAATCTTTAAATGTAAAATCATTAAACAAATAACATTTTCAAAACTAACAGGTAAATTATCTTAAACTTAAGGAATAGTTGAAAAATAAAAATGATATCCATTGAATAATCATATGTTAAATAAATCCAGAAATACTATGTAACTTCTTAAGCTTACCAAACCTTTTTTCTTTTTCAGTATACCTGACTGGTGAGTAGAAAAGTTAAATAGGTATGTTTGTAACATTACTTAAATACAATTTATGACATTTTTCCTAACTACAGTTGAAACAGTAACATCAGAAATCCACATTCATTGTATGTATCATTCATATTCGTTTCTTTTTAGTGTTTGAGATCCATCATACACGTAGTCGTGTTGACATGATAATGTCCCTGGAGGTGCAGCCTCAGGTCACGCTAAGTTATTCATCAAGAGAGCATTGATGCGGAGAGCCGCGAGGAAAAGAACTCACTGTACTCTCTGCACTCACTCACTGTACTCTCACTGAAGCAAAACAAACAAAAAAACGTTTCTAAGAACATCAAACACTCTTTGTTTTCACATAGTTTGAAACTGAGTGAAATTTAAATTTGAAACATCTGTCACACACTAAAAATTATTTATCCATTCAGCAAAGCTTATTTTTTTTTAAATAAAGTTTTTTTTTTGAAGAATATTTTACTAATACGTGTTCTATAAATAAAATAAAATCTTTTTGTTTGACTTAATAGAAATATCAATATTATTAGGTATATACGAGTTCATTCCAGGTTAGTTACAAAAATATGTTCATAAATGAATTACATAATATTAATGTTACATCTGTATATGAAATTAATGAATTAGGCTTTATATTAACATTTCTACAAAAATTCCAAAGAGAAACAGCTATCTCATAGCACATTAATATTTTATTGGGGTTCTTTATTATCATGTTTATTACTGTTACAAGAAATAGTTTTCAATATAAAATATTACAAATACTGTATTGTTACGGCGCTTGCATAGTTATATTACCTCATGGACTTTTTGTTGAAGTAAGAATTTTGTGGTTTCAAACTTTTTGTTTGTTTTATGACTCAAAGCCATGGCAACAGTCGGATTGTTATTCTATGGGATGTAAAAAGCAACATTTTAATTGTTATGGACATCTATTCCGATTCGTTCTGTATTTTAATTTTCATGAAATCTGTGTATGGAGAACTATTGTCACAGATGAAATACTGGACTCATTTTATAAAGAGTTACATTGTTTTGTCCGAAATGACATTTTTTCTACTTTATATTTATAATCATTTACCAACAATACAAAATGTGTTCAAAGAAAGTAAACCACTATTATTACTCGATGTAACTTGGTAATCAGGACAAATTGTGTCTGTACTTACTTTTAAACATTGTTTATTTGATCAAGACTATTACCAGTTAAACAAAGTGAAGAAGAACAACTATTGTATTATTTTATAAACGAAATTGGTTCCTTTATTCGTAAGGTATATCTGTAGGCCTTTTTAAAATAAAACTCGAATATTAACTTTACAGGTAATTTATTAATGCTATTCTTTTCAAAGTGCTTAATAAATATATGCAAGATATATTACAGAGTTAATTAGTTGTCTTTAAAACCTGTTCTAGCGATAAGAAAAGACTGTTAATTTGCAACTTTCAACTAATCAAAATTTTTTTCGTAAACCATTTCGAAAATGCTTTTATATTTTAAAAGTAAAGGAAAAGGGACTTGAAGTAAAGAGCGCTGTGATGTAACAGTTGATTAATAACTAAACCGTTGGTTTCATAGTTAATGAAACATTTAAAAGGTGTATTTAACGAAATCAAATATATAATATAGAATTCAAAATTTTCTAAAGGTAACAGAATGGAGAACGGTATTACATGTGATATTAATTGAAAATATTATTTGAAATATTAATTGAAAACTACTTCAATATAAATTAAATTATCACAAAAAATTCACAAATTAATGTTATTGAACAAAGTAGTTACACAAGTAAACCTATTTTTAAGGATTTATCAGATCAAGGTAAATTAGCTATGAAAGCGGGCAGAGTTATCGCTAGTAACTATAGTTCGTAAAAAATGTGTGTCATAATTAGTGCGCCGCTGCTAATGTGGGCGATGCCCCCCACCACTGATCCTTATTATTTGTCTATATATATATATTTCTGTGTGCGTGTGTGTGTCCTAACAGAAGTGTTTGGATGAAAGTATCATAAATCTTCTGAGAAACTGCTCTTTACATAACTACTATATCAAAGACGCCAACATCGCTGTGGTTTATGCAATATGTATCTGTATTCGACTCCGTGATATTTTAATTAATCTATTGTTATTTTTCATTTATTCGTACTAACGTACATGTTAGTACTAAGCTCAATTTTAATATTAGACACTTAATCACAGACTACTAAGCATATTATAGAATAATAAAAAATTATAGAATGATATAGTTTTTCGAACTATAATTTGCTTCAAGCGGTCTTTTCGACTTTTTTTGTTTGTTGGCGGTAATAATCATAAAATCAAGAAATATGTATATAGCGGAGAATATAAATTATCTAGGTTGGACCTAGGTAGCTGAGATCAAAAATCGAAGCATCATTTTGTATTTGCTATATTAATCGGTTATTTGTTTATATATAATTGAAGTTTATCGTAACCAATAATAAGAAAAAAAAAACTAAAAATGTTAATAACTTTATGTTTGTGTACTGTTAATATTGATATACAATTTCAAAGCGACATTACCAGATTATAAAATATGTATGTATTTTTTCCAATCTACATTTGTCACTGCACTCATTATCACTAACTATTAACAGTTGAACTATTTTCTCTATAAACAAGTACTGTAGTTTTTAATAAAAAAAGTATTTATAACATAGTGAGATCTAATACTTTCGCGAGTATTCCTTTAAATAGAACTAATATTATTACTAAGCGTATTTTATTATTTTAAAACTACATACTCCCAACGTTTCGGTTACTTTTCATTAACCATGGCCATGGGCAGACGAGTAGTGAATGTTCACATTGACGAGATGTGCATATGAACATCTTGTTAATATTTATAACATACAAAGAAAACTATATTTTCTTTTTTGTTATTAATGTACGATATGAACAATTTTAGTTTTATTTTTCTATTTCCAAAGTTTTTATTTATACTACATCTGATGAAGTGTTAGATCATGAATACGTACTCATATGATTTAGAGACAATAGCGATAAAAAATTACAACATAAAATTACCAGGCCAGTTGATAAAAACACTTCAATTTGAGTTGGAAATTGTATTTCAAAAATATCTGCTATGAAAAGGTAAATAACTAAGTTGTTTTTTTTAGTAAGATTATACATACGGAAAAAGTGAATTTTTTCAAACAAAAGTACATAATTTTACATGGTTCAAGATTTCATGTGAAGTTCAATAATATTTAAAAGAAATATTTGATTATTAAATAAGATATAAAGATTAAATATTCTCTTCACATTTTTTTTTTGGAAAATATTTTGATTTGATTTTGATTTCTGATTGGTACTTGCCAGGTCCAGAATCGAACCCGCGCCCTTGTGCATGAGAGGCGGGCCTTTTAACCACTAAGCCACCACTGACTTGTATATAGTGTTTTATATACATATAAAGTATTTTATATACATATGAATATATACTTTACAACATTTTTATATATAACTTTACCATAAAACTAATTTTATAATATTTTTTTATATACTCAAAACTAATTTTTTAAATTTGTCAAAACATAAAAACTTTTGAACATTTCCAGGAAAATTTCTTTTATTATATGTAACTTCGAAGTGTTCCGTAAAGTGAACTATTATTAATTTTAACTTTGTAAATGGGTGAAGTCGAAAACTTCTTCAGTTACTTGAACACGCTCATCTTTGATCTGTAGAAGTGTATTTGGAGGTTCACTAATAAACACCTTGCAAAACATTATTTGTCTTTATTATTGAGACAGATAAATTAAATATAACATTGATGAGTGTGTCAAAGGATTGTTCATTGAAAGTTGTAGTTGAGCTATGAATCATGACTATTGAAAACTTTTAAATGTTCGACTTTTCGTCATATAAGCGAAAAACCATATTTACTTACTCGAGAACTCAACTCCTAGCCAAAACGACATTATGGCTGTGTACCTTTTACCCGTCTATGTAGGCACGATCGTCAGCCAATAACCATTCCTTTAGTTAAAAAAAGAAGAGTTATGATAGACAATATCTATGGACAACAGTTTCTTTCTGTAGTTAATTTGTAAAATACTGCGAAACTATTCATATTAGAGTAATTCTTAATTTTTATAACATTTCTGTTGTTTTGTATTGCCTCATTTGTGGGCTTTCTTTTATAGAGACGAAACCTCTTAGCATTCAATGGATTCACCGTGCGGGTGCCGGGTCCATCGCGTTGCAGGGAGAGGAGCTTCAACAGTGCCTGGGACTTGCGACCCAGGTGTAGGTTTAAGGGGCCCCTTAACTAACGCGCGTTATACGCTCACCTCCACTGTCCAAGTTCCTCTCCCTACCTAACCAAATTTGAAAAGAACCTACTAGGGCTGCCTTCGACGTACGTTCTAAGAATGAATTAATGTTAGTTCTGGACAGGCCCAAGTCTTTTAGTAGGTTATAGAGAGATTTAGCTGTTATACCTCTCGCTCCCACCTCTACCGCGTACAAATCAACGACGAACCTATTTCGAGTTAGTTCGTTAGTGAGCTCGTAATACTTATTGACCTTGATGGCATGGTCTTTGGGGATGTTGGTTTCCCAAGGCACCGTAAGCTCTATCATCACAACGCGCTTTAAAATACGCGAATATAGAAATATGTCTGGTCTGGAGGCCGACGCACAAATATCCTCGGGGATTTTGTATTGTTTCTCATACGTATCCATCATGATAGTCCAATCCGAAGCCGCTTTAAGGATAGAGTAAGGCTTGACGCTTGATTTTATAGCCCTGGTGCCCTCTCTCACAAAACCTATTGATCGCTCGTTTGTGGTTATTTCCCTTTGCGCTCTGGCTACCGAAAGACTAACCGCTTCACGTATGATCTCTAAAACCCTATCGTGACGACGCGAGTATTGACCGCTGTCCAGGAGAACCTTACATCCCACCAGCAAATGCTTGGCAGTTCCAACTGCCTTTCCGCAGATATAGCAAGTTTTTTCGGTACCTTTACCCCATCTTACTAAATTACTCTGATCTGGGAGAGTCATCTGGAACGCATTGAGATAAAATTTTAGCAAGGCTGGCGACCAGTCATGAATTAGGGTGCGCCATTTTAGTGCTAGTGGAATGCAAAAATCTCCCATGTCTAACCACTCGTTCTGCATTTCTAAACTCATTGCATGGATCTTGTATTTATCGTTCTCGTCTTGCCGAATAAAAGACTTTAATATATCCGTATCTTGGACTTTCCTACTTGATCCTAACCCTACTCTGTTATTTTGCGCTCCGATCATAAATTGTTTATGGAATTGAAGTCGTGACTCTAGCTCTGGGGCATCATTGTCTTTTGGGAGTGATGTAACGACGTCATCATGGGATTTTCCCAGGATATGTCTCTTGGAAACTCTTAGGTGTTTGTAGAGCTCCGATGGTCTTTTTAGATTCATCCCAAAACTATTACGATCCCTGAATAAAGCCGATGAATCAGCCGTTAGCGCGAGCCCGAGCCACAACTTCAACATCTTTATGACGCCTGCATCTAATTTAGATAAAAGGGTTTTACTAAAATCATAGACGAGGAAAGGCCAATTCAAACGTGAAGTTAAGTAATTATCGTAGATCCATGCTTTTTTTACGTTACTGATCTGCTGGCTATCTACCTTGTTGAGATCATTTAAAAAGCTATCTACTATTCCTTCTAAAGATGGAGTACGACCTATATTATCAATCTTACGACCGAGAAACTTGAATGGTGCATTTTCCGTAACCGTAGAAACGCATTGACCGCCTATCGATAGTCCCGGATCGTATGAGGTGTATCTTGTATTCCGCCTACCAAGACACAGACAGTGACATTTACTTGGTTTTGTCCTCAATCCATCCGTCCACTCACAGAATTTATCCACTTCATCCAATAGTACTTGACAGTGTTTGGGGAGACGTGTCAGTATTGCGAGATCGTCAGCGAAGGCTAAAATGGATTCCGTGTATTTGTTATTGAACTTAAACCGATACCCCCATTTTTTCTCATTGCTGATAAGTTTATCTACTAGGATATTGATTATAATATTAAATACTATTGGAGATAAACAGCACCCTTGAAATAGTCCTACATTGTAACTCAAACTTTTTGAAGGGCCTTCTTTAGTTATAATAGAAAACTTTAATTTTGAGTAATACGACGCAATCATATCGCTAACTAAGGGTGGAAAGTTATACCATCTAAGCGCGAATAGCATCAACTCGTGTTGTATCGACCCGAACGCGTTCTCTAAGTCTATCCAACAAACTGTAATTTGCCGCTCGCTTTTTCTAGCATCTTTCAAACTCTCCGACAGCAAGGTATTGTGTTCTAGGCATCCAGAAATCCCGGGTAGAAACCCTTTCTGGTGATTTGGCCTAAAATACTTGTTGCTGAGCATGAATCGCGTCATTCTCGTTTGTAGGACCGAGAAAAAGATTTTAGATATTGTATTTGTTAAGGCTATCGGTCTAGTATCCTTCGGATCGGTAACTCGATCTTTTTTGGGAATGAGGACAAAAATTGCTTTCCCGAAACACTCCGGGATTTGCTTCCTTGACCAGATTTTGCCGTATATATTTAGGAGGTGTTTACGAACCGATGGACATTTTTTAAAGACTATATATGGGATACCATCGGGGCCCGGTGCAGATTTAGATGATTTCCTCTTTATGTGACTACTTATTTCGTCTAACGTTGGTGGTATGCCGTGAAAATCGATATGAGGAATTTCCGGTTTTTGTTCGTTTGGATCCGTATAGAGCCTTACACTTTTAGGCACTTCGTATGTACTCTTGAAATGGTCGTAAATTTGATCGTTGGTCAAGAGAAGCTGTCCGCGTTCTTTCTTAAAAATGGTTTTCGAATACTCAAAAGGGTTTTTATCAAAATCTACTTCCTGTTTGGCCCGGTCAAAATTACCGCGATATTCTGCAGTTTGTGCCGATATTCCTTGAATTAATTTAAGGATTGATCTTAATGCCCTAGCTAGCTGATGACTAAGGTGGTTGTCGCCTAGAGCTTTGGCTATACGTAGATTTTTTATTAATTCCCGTTTTTTCTTCCTCATTTTTATCTTGAACGAATTTTCTTTATTTTTGCGAGCGTAATGATTACGTGGTGGATATTGCTCGTTGAAGTAGTCATAAACGGTATTTTGGAAAGTTTCTACCTGCGAGTTCAATTCCTGCTTCGAGCCCGGATGCTCTAACAGGACCGCTAAATTGTCGTCGTGAACTTTCCAAGTCGATTGTTTCATGTTAGGAATGCTAAGACGTGTCCGGATGTTAATGGACTCCTGGTGGTTTCCAGTTAATGGTTCACCATGGGATACGTGAGGGTCAACTCTATCCGAAGTGATAATTGAAGAACTTACCAACGATTGTCGTGCTTCAACACCATTATGTGTTTTTAGGTGTTTAATGTACCAGGCTCGTCTCTTGTAATTTTTCCCGCACGTAGGGCATTTCAAGTCCGTATTCGCGCCGTTTTCGCCGTTTAAATCGACCGGTGGACAGATCTTCCGCCCCCCCTCTCGGACTGTCCCAGGGGTATTTTTCTTTTTAGGACTTTTAGCTTAATAAATCCCGGGCTGGGTTTGCTAGGCCGTTGCCCTCGGCTGTCTTTCCAGCAGTCATCCGTCTTTCCGGCAGTCATCCGTCTTTCCGGCAGTCATCTGTCTTTCCAGAGTCAGCCCGACTCTCCGGGCAGTCGTTTTATATGAGACGAAACCTCTTAGCATTCAATGGATTCACCGTGCGGGTGCCGGGTCCATCGCGTTGCAGGGAGAGGAGCTTCAACAGTGCCTGGGACTTGCGACCCAGGTGTAGGTTTAAGGGGCCCCTTAACTAACGCGCGTTATACGCTCACCTCCACTGTCCAAGTTCCTCTCCCTACCTAACCAAATTTGAAAAGAACCTACTAGGGCTGCCTTCGACGTACGTTCTAAGAATGAATTAATGTTAGTTCTGGACAGGCCCAAGTCTTTTAGTAGGTTATAGAGAGATTTAGCTGTTATACCTCTCGCTCCCACCTCTACCGCGTACAAATCAACGACGAACCTATTTCGAGTTAGTTCGTTAGTGAGCTCGTAATACTTATTGACCTTGATGGCATGGTCTTTGGGGATGTTGGTTTCCCAAGGCACCGTAAGCTCTATCATCACAACGCGCTTTAAAATACGCGAATATAGAAATATGTCTGGTCTGGAGGCCGACGCACAAATATCCTCGGGGATTTTGTATTGTTTCTCATACGTATCCATCATGATAGTCCAATCCGAAGCCGCTTTAAGGATAGAGTAAGGCTTGACGCTTGATTTTATAGCCCTGGTGCCCTCTCTCACAAAACCTATTGATCGCTCGTTTGTGGTTATTTCCCTTTGCGCTCTGGCTACCGAAAGACTAACCGCTTCACGTATGATCTCTAAAACCCTATCGTGACGACGCGAGTATTGACCGCTGTCCAGGAGAACCTTACATCCCACCAGCAAATGCTTGGCAGTTCCAACTGCCTTTCCGCAGATATAGCAAGTTTTTTCGGTACCTTTACCCCATCTTACTAAATTACTCTGATCTGGGAGAGTCATCTGGAACGCATTGAGATAAAATTTTAGCAAGGCTGGCGACCAGTCATGAATTAGGGTGCGCCATTTTAGTGCTAGTGGAATGCAAAAATCTCCCATGTCTAACCACTCGTTCTGCATTTCTAAACTCATTGCATGGATCTTGTATTTATCGTTCTCGTCTTGCCGAATAAAAGACTTTAATATATCCGTATCTTGGACTTTCCTACTTGATCCTAACCCTACTCTGTTATTTTGCGCTCCGATCATAAATTGTTTATGGAATTGAAGTCGTGACTCTAGCTCTGGGGCATCATTGTCTTTTGGGAGTGATGTAACGACGTCATCATGGGATTTTCCCAGGATATGTCTCTTGGAAACTCTTAGGTGTTTGTAGAGCTCCGATGGTCTTTTTAGATTCATCCCAAAACTATTACGATCCCTGAATAAAGCCGATGAATCAGCCGTTAGCGCGAGCCCGAGCCACAACTTCAACATCTTTATGACGCCTGCATCTAATTTAGATAAAAGGGTTTTACTAAAATCATAGACGAGGAAAGGCCAATTCAAACGTGAAGTTAAGTAATTATCGTAGATCCATGCTTTTTTTACGTTACTGATCTGCTGGCTATCTACCTTGTTGAGATCATTTAAAAAGCTATCTACTATTCCTTCTAAAGATGGAGTACGACCTATATTATCAATCTTACGACCGAGAAACTTGAATGGTGCATTTTCCGTAACCGTAGAAACGCATTGACCGCCTATCGATAGTCCCGGATCGTATGAGGTGTATCTTGTATTCCGCCTACCAAGACACAGACAGTGACATTTACTTGGTTTTGTCCTCAATCCATCCGTCCACTCACAGAATTTATCCACTTCATCCAATAGTACTTGACAGTGTTTGGGGAGACGTGTCAGTATTGCGAGATCGTCAGCGAAGGCTAAAATGGATTCCGTGTATTTGTTATTGAACTTAAACCGATACCCCCATTTTTTCTCATTGCTGATAAGTTTATCTACTAGGATATTGATTATAATATTAAATACTATTGGAGATAAACAGCACCCTTGAAATAGTCCTACATTGTAACTCAAACTTTTTGAAGGGCCTTCTTTAGTTATAATAGAAAACTTTAATTTTGAGTAATACGACGCAATCATATCGCTAACTAAGGGTGGAAAGTTATACCATCTAAGCGCGAATAGCATCAACTCGTGTTGTATCGACCCGAACGCGTTCTCTAAGTCTATCCAACAAACTGTAATTTGCCGCTCGCTTTTTCTAGCATCTTTCAAACTCTCCGACAGCAAGGTATTGTGTTCTAGGCATCCAGAAATCCCGGGTAGAAACCCTTTCTGGTGATTTGGCCTAAAATACTTGTTGCTGAGCATGAATCGCGTCATTCTCGTTTGTAGGACCGAGAAAAAGATTTTAGATATTGTATTTGTTAAGGCTATCGGTCTAGTATCCTTCGGATCGGTAACTCGATCTTTTTTGGGAATGAGGACAAAAATTGCTTTCCCGAAACACTCCGGGATTTGCTTCCTTGACCAGATTTTGCCGTATATATTTAGGAGGTGTTTACGAACCGATGGACATTTTTTAAAGACTATATATGGGATACCATCGGGGCCCGGTGCAGATTTAGATGATTTCCTCTTTATGTGACTACTTATTTCGTCTAACGTTGGTGGTATGCCGTGAAAATCGATATGAGGAATTTCCGGTTTTTGTTCGTTTGGATCCGTATAGAGCCTTACACTTTTAGGCACTTCGTATGTACTCTTGAAATGGTCGTAAATTTGATCGTTGGTCAAGAGAAGCTGTCCGCGTTCTTTCTTAAAAATGGTTTTCGAATACTCAAAAGGGTTTTTATCAAAATCTACTTCCTGTTTGGCCCGGTCAAAATTACCGCGATATTCTGCAGTTTGTGCCGATATTCCTTGAATTAATTTAAGGATTGATCTTAATGCCCTAGCTAGCTGATGACTAAGGTGGTTGTCGCCTAGAGCTTTGGCTATACGTAGATTTTTTATTAATTCCCGTTTTTTCTTCCTCATTTTTATCTTGAACGAATTTTCTTTATTTTTGCGAGCGTAATGATTACGTGGTGGATATTGCTCGTTGAAGTAGTCATAAACGGTATTTTGGAAAGTTTCTACCTGCGAGTTCAATTCCTGCTTCGAGCCCGGATGCTCTAACAGGACCGCTAAATTGTCGTCGTGAACTTTCCAAGTCGATTGTTTCATGTTAGGAATGCTAAGACGTGTCCGGATGTTAATGGACTCCTGGTGGTTTCCAGTTAATGGTTCACCATGGGATACGTGAGGGTCAACTCTATCCGAAGTGATAATTGAAGAACTTACCAACGATTGTCGTGCTTCAACACCATTATGTGTTTTTAGGTGTTTAATGTACCAGGCTCGTCTCTTGTAATTTTTCCCGCACGTAGGGCATTTCAAGTCCGTATTCGCGCCGTTTTCGCCGTTTAAATCGACCGGTGGACAGATCTTCCGCCCCCCCTCTCGGACTGTCCCAGGGGTATTTTTCTTTTTAGGACTTTTAGCTTAATAAATCCCGGGCTGGGCTTGCTAGGCCGTTGCCCTCGGCTGTCTTTCCAGCAGTCATCCGTCTTTCCGGCAGTCATCCGTCTTTCCGGCAGTCATCTGTCTTTCCAGAGTCAGCCCGACTCTCCGGGCAGTCGTTTTATATGAGACGAAACCTCTTAGCATTCAATGGATTCACCGTGCGGGTGCCGGGTCCATCGCGTTGCAGGGAGAGGAGCTTCAACAGTGCCTGGGACTTGCGACCCAGGTGTAGGTTTAAGGGGCCCCTTAACTAACGCGCGTTATACGCTCACCTCCACTGTCCAAGTTCCTCTCCCTACCTAACCAAATTTGAAAAGAACCTACTAGGGCTGCCTTCGACGTACGTTCTAAGAATGAATTAATGTTAGTTCTGGACAGGCCCAAGTCTTTTAGTAGGTTATAGAGAGATTTAGCTGTTATACCTCTCGCTCCCACCTCTACCGCGTACAAATCAACGACGAACCTATTTCGAGTTAGTTCGTTAGTGAGCTCGTAATACTTATTGACCTTGATGGCATGGTCTTTGGGGATGTTGGTTTCCCAAGGCACCGTAAGCTCTATCATCACAACGCGCTTTAAAATACGCGAATATAGAAATATGTCTGGTCTGGAGGCCGACGCACAAATATCCTCGGGGATTTTGTATTGTTTCTCATACGTATCCATCATGATAGTCCAATCCGAAGCCGCTTTAAGGATAGAGTAAGGCTTGACGCTTGATTTTATAGCCCTGGTGCCCTCTCTCACAAAACCTATTGATCGCTCGTTTGTGGTTATTTCCCTTTGCGCTCTGGCTACCGAAAGACTAACCGCTTCACGTATGATCTCTAAAACCCTATCGTGACGACGCGAGTATTGACCGCTGTCCAGGAGAACCTTACATCCCACCAGCAAATGCTTGGCAGTTCCAACTGCCTTTCCGCAGATATAGCAAGTTTTTTCGGTACCTTTACCCCATCTTACTAAATTACTCTGATCTGGGAGAGTCATCTGGAACGCATTGAGATAAAATTTTAGCAAGGCTGGCGACCAGTCATGAATTAGGGTGCGCCATTTTAGTGCTAGTGGAATGCAAAAATCTCCCATGTCTAACCACTCGTTCTGCATTTCTAAACTCATTGCATGGATCTTGTATTTATCGTTCTCGTCTTGCCGAATAAAAGACTTTAATATATCCGTATCTTGGACTTTCCTACTTGATCCTAACCCTACTCTGTTATTTTGCGCTCCGATCATAAATTGTTTATGGAATTGAAGTCGTGACTCTAGCTCTGGGGCATCATTGTCTTTTGGGAGTGATGTAACGACGTCATCATGGGATTTTCCCAGGATATGTCTCTTGGAAACTCTTAGGTGTTTGTAGAGCTCCGATGGTCTTTTTAGATTCATCCCAAAACTATTACGATCCCTGAATAAAGCCGATGAATCAGCCGTTAGCGCGAGCCCGAGCCACAACTTCAACATCTTTATGACGCCTGCATCTAATTTAGATAAAAGGGTTTTACTAAAATCATAGACGAGGAAAGGCCAATTCAAACGTGAAGTTAAGTAATTATCGTAGATCCATGCTTTTTTTACGTTACTGATCTGCTGGCTATCTACCTTGTTGAGATCATTTAAAAAGCTATCTACTATTCCTTCTAAAGATGGAGTACGACCTATATTATCAATCTTACGACCGAGAAACTTGAATGGTGCATTTTCCGTAACCGTAGAAACGCATTGACCGCCTATCGATAGTCCCGGATCGTATGAGGTGTATCTTGTATTCCGCCTACCAAGACACAGACAGTGACATTTACTTGGTTTTGTCCTCAATCCATCCGTCCACTCACAGAATTTATCCACTTCATCCAATAGTACTTGACAGTGTTTGGGGAGACGTGTCAGTATTGCGAGATCGTCAGCGAAGGCTAAAATGGATTCCGTGTATTTGTTATTGAACTTAAACCGATACCCCCATTTTTTCTCATTGCTGATAAGTTTATCTACTAGGATATTGATTATAATATTAAATACTATTGGAGATAAACAGCACCCTTGAAATAGTCCTACATTGTAACTCAAACTTTTTGAAGGGCCTTCTTTAGTTATAATAGAAAACTTTAATTTTGAGTAATACGACGCAATCATATCGCTAACTAAGGGTGGAAAGTTATACCATCTAAGCGCGAATAGCATCAACTCGTGTTGTATCGACCCGAACGCGTTCTCTAAGTCTATCCAACAAACTGTAATTTGCCGCTCGCTTTTTCTAGCATCTTTCAAACTCTCCGACAGCAAGGTATTGTGTTCTAGGCATCCAGAAATCCCGGGTAGAAACCCTTTCTGGTGATTTGGCCTAAAATACTTGTTGCTGAGCATGAATCGCGTCATTCTCGTTTGTAGGACCGAGAAAAAGATTTTAGATATTGTATTTGTTAAGGCTATCGGTCTAGTATCCTTCGGATCGGTAACTCGATCTTTTTTGGGAATGAGGACAAAAATTGCTTTCCCGAAACACTCCGGGATTTGCTTCCTTGACCAGATTTTGCCGTATATATTTAGGAGGTGTTTACGAACCGATGGACATTTTTTAAAGACTATATATGGGATACCATCGGGGCCCGGTGCAGATTTAGATGATTTCCTCTTTATGTGACTACTTATTTCGTCTAACGTTGGTGGTATGCCGTGAAAATCGATATGAGGAATTTCCGGTTTTTGTTCGTTTGGATCCGTATAGAGCCTTACACTTTTAGGCACTTCGTATGTACTCTTGAAATGGTCGTAAATTTGATCGTTGGTCAAGAGAAGCTGTCCGCGTTCTTTCTTAAAAATGGTTTTCGAATACTCAAAAGGGTTTTTATCAAAATCTACTTCCTGTTTGGCCCGGTCAAAATTACCGCGATATTCTGCAGTTTGTGCCGATATTCCTTGAATTAATTTAAGGATTGATCTTAATGCCCTAGCTAGCTGATGACTAAGGTGGTTGTCGCCTAGAGCTTTGGCTATACGTAGATTTTTTATTAATTCCCGTTTTTTTTCTTCCTCATTTTTATCTTGAACGAATTTTCTTTATTTTTGCGAGCGTAATGATTACGTGGTGGATATTGCTCGTTGAAGTAGTCATAAACGGTATTTTGGAAAGTTTCTACCTGCGAGTTCAATTCCTGCTTCGAGCCCGGATGCTCTAACAGGACCGCTAAATTGTCGTCGTGAACTTTCCAAGTCGATTGTTTCATGTTAGGAATGCTAAGACGTGTCCGGATGTTAATGGACTCCTGGTGGTTTCCAGTTAATGGTTCACCATGGGATACGTGAGGGTCAACTCTATCCGAAGTGATAATTGAAGAACTTACCAACGATTGTCGTGCTTCAACACCATTATGTGTTTTTAGGTGTTTAATGTACCAGGCTCGTCTCTTGTAATTTTTCCCGCACGTAGGGCATTTCAAGGCACTTATGCCGAAATTAACACGAACGAAGTCGCGGGCAAATCTAGTACTAGTCTAGCGTACTAATCATAAACGAAGGTTTTAATACTAATCATAAACGAAGGCTTTAATTAATACTAATAACAAACTATTTAAATTGTATATTCACAAGGAATTATAATAATTTAGATGGAATTTATATTTATATGTAGTACCATCTCCACTAATAAATTACAAAGTAACTCTGTCTGTCTGTCTGTTACTTTTTCACGGCTAAACCACTGATTTTATAGCTTATATACAAGTCTAGGTTAAACTTTTGAGTTTAATTTATGGAACAGCGGTGGCCAAAGAAATTCTCAAATATTTGAATATCTCAGTAAAGTTGCTGGTGCCTTTACTGCTTTACTCTTCAATCAGCTGTTGTTTTTAAGAGAATTAAATGCCTACCCTTATAAACGTTACAACGGCGGCGGACAAGTCAACAGATAGTACCTCGGGAGGTGTGATTCTAAGGACCTAAAAAAATCCAGTGTTGGGGCAGCTGCAAGAGAAAACTAGGTAACCTTGCAGAATCACGGCCATAGTACCGTCCGCGACAACTTCTTTATTTCCAGGACGCACAAGTCTATTTATGTGTAATAGTATTGGCATATTCTGGCAGATGATCCTTAATTTAATCCATACTGTTTTGAATTCCTTAGCGAGGCATGTGAGAAGGATTATTATTAATGACCAAAGTTAGATCTTGTGAGCCTTGACAATACGCATATAAGCAGAACCAGTATTTGAACATTTTATAGAATAAATTTAGGATCGTGACCGAGAACTTAATGATAAAATTCTTCTATCCGATTTGACACGCAGATAGTTAGAAGTATGACAAACCTATGTCCATTCAATATATATAAGTTCTACACACACAAATAACTTTACGCTTCCTCTTTATTTCATGCACATAGAAAAAAATATATAAAATATTTTGTCTGCGTTTGTTTTTCTTTTACTTAAAATTTGGAAATCTTCAATGAAGGAGTAAAAAAGCAAAGGATATTAGTCAAGTACCTTCTAGTTCGAATAACAAATACACATAGATACAGATATAAAAGAACGCTATATGCTACACAAATTGTTTTCATCTAACGACGCGTTGCAATAACGACCTATAAAGTCAACATAACAGTTTTTTAGTGGATTGTTATGAATATACAACGAAATCTAACTAAAGCTGGAATATTTTAAACTTCTACAATATTCTTTTGTATATTTATTTTATAAACATGGACATAAATTTTACATATTCACTTAAAGTACTGCCTTCCGGTATGAACATTTTTGTGGACTCTATTTTAATACTTTATTTCATTTTACGTATTTTTGCGAAGTTTAAATAACATTTCATTTGTTAGTTTACATTGTGTTATGTATTTATTACATTTTATGATTAATTTATATTTTTATTACTCGCATAATATGTATATCTCTAAATTCAGTAATTTTACTATCTACATTTACTAACCATAAAACTCTTTTAAAACTATTATTTGTAAATCATTTTTTTTTTGTTAATAACTATTGGTGAGGTATGTATAGAATATAAATTTAAAACATAATTATATAATACATATTAAGGACCTTTTAATATATTTTATGATTAAGACCTAAAAATCCTGCAATACCTATTAGTAAGTTAAGCTTTACAACTAAAATTCCAGGTTACCTGATTACCGTAAAACTTAAGTACAGCTGTTTGCCACTGGGCTGAAATTGTACTCAGTTACACATTTCGCATAATGCAGTAACTAGATTACAAAACTAGACGCTGTTATAAAAACAGATACCACATCGTTTATTCAACAATTATTGAAAAATTTTATATTCTTTTAAAGCAAACGCTTGTGTAGCTTTTTATGGATTTGTATTAAATAATCATACTGATCTATTAAAGAAAGCATTTCTTTTGTGTTTTTATAATAAACAAGAAAAAAATTTCAATATTATTCGAAGTAAACAATGTTAATTAGAACATTTCGAAGAAATTTATACAAAAATACAGTACGTATTTTTTATAAAAAATGAAGTCGCGTAGTGTATCCGAAAAATATTATTTTCATTAAAATAAATACTCGCGAAAATATTAGAACTCGTTATTGAGAATATAACATTTCCGCCAAATTACGAACTCATAAGAATCATATCCTTACACTATATACTATTGACACCGACACATTTCTTTCAATGAGAATAATGTATATTGGACAGCAGTTGATATTAATTACTTTTTTACTTCTATATCAAACAAAAACTTCAATACTTTTCGCTTTTTTTCTACGAGTGATAAATAATATCGCATACTTTATTACATGTACATGAGAGTAGTAGGATTGACTAAGTATATTATATCTTGAGGTGAAACAGACCTTTTTACACTGGTTGCTGCATATTAATCAAAGTTAATAAAGGCTACACGTAAAATACCAGTCACAAACTCAATTAAAGAAAGGTGTACGAATTATATTCAGTAACATTATGGCATGAAGCAAACCTTTACCCCATTACCGTTTACAGCAAGTGGATGTAAACACAATAAAATGTTCGTCGGTTAATTGCATTATATGAATAAAACATGATTATGGTATTATAATTTTACTAACGCTTTAAAGAGATATACTTTTATTATATGTTAAGAAACAAACGTATTAAATTTTCTAAGACACAATGAAATTAACTGAGGCATGAAGCTTACCTTACTATTATGTTGGTTATAACTATTTAGTGGAGAGGCTGAAAATCACTTGTGTTCAAAAAGAATATTGTCGAAAGTTTCTTTGGATACAAAGTTTATTGTAGACAAAAAATGTACATATATTCAAATTAATATATGTATTTACTTTAAAGTACCCGAAGTTTCGATCTTAGATAAAAAGATTTTTTTTAAACACAGAGGTAGGAAAAATTACATATTTATATTTAATACACTGGCTTAGCATATATCTTAAGGGAATAGGTGGAAAACATACCATTAAGTAGTGTTTGACATTTAGACAA